AGTACGGATCTGGCGAGGGTTTCGGACTCTAGGCACTGCTTCCCACATGCAGAGCCTTTAGCGCTGAGTCTCTCAGACTAAAACCGTGGCTCTATAAGTCAGCAGTATTTTTTCATGTATACTAGGAGAGCAATCAAACCTGAGTGACTGAATAGCCAGACAATCAGAATTAGTCAGGCCAAAATTTGATCAAAAAGTGAACCCTAGTCATTTTTTACATGAGAATGAAATGGGTCCTAGAAGTTACTCAGCGCTTACCACCTGTACCCATACTTTATTGCGGTTATTACTCACGCTACTACTGCAATGATGGAGAATTAAACGTTAGAGCTAATAAAAAACGTTGAAAAAGATAAAAGACAGAGTAAATTCCATTGTGGAAATTATGGCAAGCAAGATAAAAAATCATCAGCTTATATGGAGTTGCAAACATTTGGAAATAAGTATCAGTTCAGTCAATAACTGAAAACCGCTTCCTCTTTATGAGAATATCCTCTAGAAGGAATGCCCTTTATCCACACGTGACAGAACAACCAAATGACAAATAAATAATACGCATCACGTACCCAATTCCAGCACCAAAGTCTCCTATTATGAATTACATACAAGAAAGAACGGCCAAAATTCAAAATCGGGATGGGCGATGTGGGAAATGACAGCCAGTTTAGCCAGTTTGGGAACTGGCTGCACTCTTTGGATTTAATCGCACCATAGAACACATGACACATCGATAGCAGTGCATCTTGTAAACAGTAAATGTTTTCTGTATGACAATCGAGTAACGAGGAATTCACGAAAAATCAACCACTTCACTGATAAAGGGTGCAAAACATAATAACAAGCAGACGACAACCGAGAAACCCAGAGGGTTTCACCTAGTTAACAGCTATTCAATCTAAGCCTTACGTAATATTGAATAAAAATGTACGCTTTGACAGCCGTTATAGAGCCATTCAATGGATGTACAGCAAGAGGTCAACGTGCGACATCGCCCCACTTTCTGCTTGCGGTCCGAATTCGGGCGCCAAACAGGGATGGACTTATCCTCGCGCGCGCCACATGTCGTATTTCGAGGCGCAGGTGTCGTACTTCTGCAGTAAAAAACGCCGGAACATAGGAGCAATACTCAAAAAGCGGGTTGCCCGCTCTCACTTGAAGCGAAATTGAACAGCAAGGGGTAGGATATCGCGCGGTGACCTCCTCCGGTGACCCACACCTTGAGCACGCGCATCCAATGAAGCCGACTTTACACTTTTCTAGAAAGTATGTACACAACCAGTAAATAAAGGAAAATACTGATAAGAAGAGATTCGCAATCGAAT